GCTGCTCGGGAGAGACCCCCGTGCTGCCAGGGCGGCCTGCGGGCTGGCGCGTTCACCCGCGGTGCCTCGTTCCGGAAGGGAAAAAGTGCCCTGGGAGCGGAGAGGGAGGTGGTTGGTCCCGTCAGTGAGCGCTGTGTCCTGCTTGATCTAAAGTCACCGCTGTAGTAGCGTTCAGTTAATAGTTTATACAATGACTTTGTGAGAGTCCGGTACGGTTACGTTATGTCTCATGTCACTTCAGTCCTCAGCGGTTTGAAGGTGACTGGTGTGTGTTTGGTTACGTGTACAGCCTGAACAGCCTCACACTGGCCACGCTGGAATGCTTGAAGAAGGAAGTATCAGTACTTTTTAGTGTGTTCTACTCAAGAAAAACCCGTAGTTAGGACAGGAACTTGTGTCTTTTTCACCATCTACACCCCCCCCCCCCCCAAAAAAAAAAAAAAAGTGATCAGCTCCGAACTTCTTTCTCTTGTTTGTGATCTCTTCTCAAATCAGTCTCGTTTGTATTATGTATGCTAAGTGAAGAACATATGCTCTTACATGTGGAGCAACTGAACTGCATGCTTTAGGTCCCTAAATAGGATTTGACTGTTTTGAAGTGTGAAGGTAAAATCTGTATCTGTTTTCAGAATGTTATGCTGACTTCTTCAGAGAAGACTTTGATGTGAAAGCCTACACTTCCCAGTCTATTCATCAGGCTGTGATAGCGGAGCAGCTGGCAAAGCTTGCCCAGGGAATTAGTCAGTTGGATAAAGAGCTCCATTTACAAGTAAGTTTAAAATATACCAGTTTTTCAGAGCTGGTGAATATAAACTAGTCAAAAGTTTAGTAATCTTATGATCTTATTGCTTTTGAAATTGGCCAGTGTACTCTGCAAGCCTAAACTAAAGGTACAATTTGCAGCAAAACTAGTAATCTGATACTTAACTCAGTCAAGCCCACTTTTAATATTCCTGCCAAAATCCATATACTGCTTTGCTTCCAGTTTCTGCAGCCAGTCTCTGTATACTTGGAGGTTTGACTCTTCCTTGTATGGACGTTCCCTGTTCTTTCCAAATGATCACATCAGCTGTCAGGAACGCTGGCCTGTGTTGCAGGATGACAATTGTGGAAGATATGGAATGATTTGATTTGCACCCTTTCATCCTGTGTCCTGAGGCTTTTTGGTAACATCTACGTATGTGCCACAAATACACAGTGGGCCATTCCTTGAGAACACACGCTGAGTTTGTGTGTAGTTTCAAAACCTGCTTCCTCCCTCCCTTTGTCGCAACTGGCAATTCTCTGGGAACAAATTTCTAGATGTCATAACTAAAAAAGAAAATATTAAAAATGTGAAAATACATTATCACTGTGTGATTAATAAGCTTACATGTACAGTGATTGTACATGAAGGTGTGTTGAAATGTCATTGCTCTGCTGGCTTTAAGATGTCAGTTACACTGCAGTTACTGACCCTCTTGTTCTGAGCCTGCTTGCTTTTGTGAATTAAAATGCATTCTGAAAACTTTCATCTTTAAGGTATGGCTGCTTTTTCCTGTGTCTGCCTAATGCAGGGATGATGATACTTTAATGCCTAATGTAGGCATGATGATGAGATACTAATATCCCTTTCAGGTACGCATCCCCATTTTTCTGTGTTGATTTCTTGTTTTTTAAAGGTTGTCGCAAGACATGAAGACCTGTTGGCCCAAGCAACTGGAATTGAATCCCTGGAAGGTAAATTATATAATGCTTCTTACTTCATACAATGGAGGAAACACCTTCAATATCTGTGCAGGGAACATAACTCACTGCCAACTTTGGCCTCTAATATTAAGGCTACAGATCTTCTGAGGAGTAACATGTGGCAGCTGTTTTTTTTTATGTCAGCAGATGGAGCTCCAGGGAGAAGGTTAGGCCAATACTTCTCTCGTGTAACTACTTCATAGGAAAACATGTTTTGATAATCAGTTCTGAGCAACCTTAGAAATCAAGTAGTTTTGACCTTTTAATATATTTTTCCAAATAAGTCTATTTTTGTTGCAACAGTAGCTGATACCTGCTGCTGTAAGTACCACCTTGCATGTTGCATATGCATGTGTTGCGTAGTTTGCAAATCTTAACCAAAGAGGCTTTAACACAGTCTTAACTGCATTGAGATATGTTTCCTACTAAGGAGCTACGAAGTTAAATACATATCTTTGTGTTGTTCCACTGTCTGGGATCTGGATTTTGATATAAACTGCTGACTTCTAAAGGCCTTACTTAGGAAACACTGGATCTGTATAGAAAAATTGTAGCAGTATATTGTTGTTCCAAGAGCGCATTAGAGCTGACATTCTGCTCTTTGTCACTTGTTGGGAACTTTATATGGTTTTAGATTTTTGGGGCTATTTTTTTTTTTTGTGCAGAAAGATATTTACCTCTGTAACATGCTAATTTGCATATATTATGGCATCCAAACAAGCCCCCTTTTCTTCCTTTTTGTAACTTGCTAAGTAACTTAGCTTTTTTCCTTGTTCTGCTTCCAGGTTTTTGCATAACCGGAGAGTTTCTGGTTACTGACAGAGTATCTCCTTAGTCTTTGGAACTTGTTTGATATGGTATTTGATTGTTAGCATTTGCATATAGCTATGAAAATAAAGAAATACCTATTTGATCTACCAATGGTAGCTTCCAAATAGCTTTTCAAACAGTTGGAAAATTCAGCAGAGGAAGACTCAATTCTCTGTTCATCCTCCAAATAAGAAGTGGATAGGAACTGTAGTCTATTTTGTGATTGATAAATACCTCCCAGTCACCCAGCTTCAGCAATTTGTGTTCAATGGAATTGTGTTTTCTGAAATCATGGTTGTTTCTGAAGGCATTCCTTCTTAAAATTGCTCTGAGGAAAGAACGAAGTATGTCAAAACAACTACTCAGTTATAAAACATTTATATGAGGCAAGTATGGTAAATAATGCATGTTTTACAGCTAATAGTGCAAAATAAAACAAAAATCTAATTCACCTCAATTTTTTTGAAATAACTTCATTTACTTAGGTTCTTTAGGAGGCCTTTTCTGTGTTTGAGGAAAGGAGAAGCATGCTGATGTTCTAGTCCTGCAGTGCACTTGAGACATCAGTAGAAACTTCAGTCTGCAGTTGCCAGGAAAACCAAAACCACACAAAGATAATTTTTTAAGTTTTGAAACATTTTCTCATCTCTGCCCTGCTTGTGCCACATGTGATGTGTGGTCACTGTAGAGAAACACTGAAGATGAATAAGAAAAAGAAAAGAAGGATGTAAATAGAAATTTTAATTATGAAGTTAGAAACTTCTTGGTATTTTTATCAAGAAAGTTAACGAGTAAAGATTATGGAACTAATTCACAGCATCCACAATCGCTTGGATACGTGAAAGTGATTCTCATTAAAGGTTTCAAATAGATATACCCAGCTTTTAGAGTAATTTCTTTTTTAGGTCTATGCACTTTAAAAATGGTACATTCATCTGGTATACTGTCCAGCCATGTCATGCTACTTGCTCTTCTCTGTTATTGCAATGTGGAGTAGAAAATAGGCTGATTTTTGCTAACTTTTCGCTGTATCTCATATCTTCATCCTGTCATGCATGAGAATTGCATGCCTACCAGTCCATGTCAGAGAACTCCTGAGTCTGTCACTAAGCCAAGTCAGTAATTCTGAAAATATTGAGAAGATGGGAATTTGTATTTTTACTCAAAAAACATGACACGTAGTCCCAGTACAGGGCAAGCTAAATAAAACTGTTAGCAGTATATCTTCCATGTTACTGTATCATGTTGCAATTTTATCCAATTTGGTGATGACATATTTGTAAACAGGGCTTTAGAAAAATGTTGTGTGTTTGAGAATGCTAACAGTAACTGAAACAAGAATAATTTTGTAGAATTTGGTTTGTGTAACTTAATTCAGTTCTCAGCAGGCTGATTCCATATTGCAAAAAATGACTGCTGCCCTTGCCTATTTTTTTCTGCATTTTAACAAGAAAAGAACAAGTATGCTTATGGGCTGTCTTTGTGCTGCTTTGCCAAACTAATCTGGAACAAACATGTTTAGGGTAATTTTCTCTGTAATCTAAATTTGATGACCTCACATTGTTACCTTACTTTTTTGCTAAAGATGCTTATGCACAGGAAGAAAATCT